CTTCTGACCCCTTAAAATTAGGCATGGCCTCTGACTTGCTTGGGGCCAATGAAATATAAGGAAAAATGAGTGTATCACCCTGGGCAGAAGTTTTAGGGGCCAGAGGACGATTTGCTACCTTCGCTTCTCCTGCCATGGGAACAGTGATGAGCAGAAACGCTGCCCTGAACATAATAGTGCAGGTGATAGTCCGTTTGTGGGGACAAGCCACTGAGTGGGGCGTCCACCTGGCTTCTCTTGGATGAGACACATGGGCCAGCCCTGGCATGGCAACACCGCGGGTGATCACTGGCTTGCTTTGTCACGTGGAGTGGGAGAAGACAGGGCAGAGGAGTCCTGCCGTCCCTCCCACAGGAAGATTTTGTCCAATGGAGTGACAAAAGCAAGCAGGCCCTGCGCCCTCCTCCCTCCGACTGGAAGGATGGGGATGTGTGGGAGGCCACACGGCACGGGGACCAGACTGCAACTTTGCCTCGCCTCTTTGGAACGGGTTGGTCCTCTGCCTGCATGGCCCCCCTCTATTTCTCTGCAAAGAGTGGGCTGTTCGTGCGTCTTGCAGTGTGGACTTCCAAGTGACTTCCGAGGGTCAGTGCTCATGAGGATTTAGATGGTTGAAAACCCACGTCCTCCTGGGCCAGCGGATGTGTGACTCACGCTCATTTCTTATAAGGTATAGATGACAGAGTTATCCAACCCCATACAATTTCCGTGGAGGTGAGCAACAAGATTTAAATGCCAAAAATCCGAGGGATGGAGCCTCAGTGTCAAAAGGGACCCTAAAAAGAGGAGATTGGAGGCTGAGATGGGCCATACGTCAATCTTCCTCTGGGGATGATGCCTTCCCTGACACATTTTGGGGCCTCTAAATAAAAGGGGGTGTGTGTAAGCCATTTGCAAATAACAAAGCTCTATACAAGTGTGAGGGGTTTGAATTAATATTGAGTCTGATGTGGTCCACTTGGAGGTTATCCCTGATTGTGTCCACGTGTCCCCATGAGAGCTTACTGAGGTATTCCATGGGATGACTTGATCAGAGAATGGAATTGGCTTCTGTCAGGGGGCCTGGGAAGCTCTTCATGCACATTTCCTTGGAAGAGAGGGGGCTGTTGCTTCCATCCATCGTGGGTTCTCCACCAAGAGCCAGCCCCCACGTTCCCGTCCTGAGGAAGGAGGGGAACTGTATCCTACTTGAAGAAATGCTAACCATCTGGCCCATACGGTCATGTGCCAGAGGACTGGCTTCAGTGCTGAAACAGCAGAGATCCAGAGGGAGGCTGGGTAGATGTGTTTTAATCTCCAGGAGGGGAAGAAGTGCAAATGGTTGGATACCAGAGAACCTCGGGGTGTCCCTTGAGAATCGGGAAAGTCTTATTTTTAAAATATCACTGACTTTTATGATTTCTGAGCCCACATGTCCCTAATTGAGCTTCTTGATTATTTTTTCCTTGAGCTTTTTAATTTTTGAAAATAAAATTGTTATGGTCTCGGCTTCAAAGATGACCTGATTAGCTACCAACCACAAGCTTCCTGTCAGGGTAGGGCTGGCTTTCTCCCTTCGTGTTCAGAGCTCTCGGGAGCAGTGGGTGTGCTAGCTTTTCTCTCCCGGAAGACAGCAAGGCAGCAAGCTTGACTTAGGGGTGCAAACCACAGAAGCCAGTTACTGTCGTGCAGAACTTTAATAGAGGCCTACTTAGAGTTAGGCATGGTGCTAGGCAACGGGGGCGCAAAGTTATTGTTGTGGATGATCACCAGAGAGATGGGGAAGGAGGCAAATACACAGTTGATTGCATGGGAGTGTTGAGCTTATGTCCCTGAACCTGCTTGGGGTGTGGCCGGTAAAGGAGAGGGGTTTGAGCAGATCGATTAAAACAGTTTGGAGTCCTGAGGAGTAAAAAGGGCTCATGGACATTTCAGCAGAGGGGGTTTGAAGTGTGGTTTGAAGGCGGAGAGGCCTGAACTTGGTAAGAGGTTCCAGTGTGTAGAGCAGATACTGGTGGCCAAGGGGTGTGTGGGAGGCTGGAAAAGGCCTGAAACCCCAGGGACGAGGCTGACAGGGTCAAGTATGGGTTTTGGAAAGATCTTCTGTTTGAACACCCCTTGTGATGGGAAGCTCACTATCTACAATTCCACCTTCAGCTCTGACCCATAAAAAAGTCCTTTCTGAGAGCAAGCCGGTGCCTGCTGTTGGCCTTGGAGGTTCCTGAAAGACAACCCTATGCCATGCTTAGTCCTTTCATCCTTGTTTTTGTCCTTGAGAGCAATGGACATTTAGTTTGAGGGCGAGCATGATTACTTCCTTTACCATGACCATTCCAAAGCTTTGGCCACAATCTCTGGAACTTTCTGTCAGTGACCCAGGTTGGCCTCCTATGGGGAACATGTCTGAATTCATCTCTGCAGTTTGCCTAGTGGCTGAAGGCTTGGAGTTTGGGGTCCGTAGTCCTGATGTCGAATCCCATTTAGGCCACTTTGTAGTTTCCTGACCTTGAACAGGTGTTTTCTCCACATTCGGCTCCCCAGCTGGCCACCGGGGGTTACCACAGATGCAGATTACACACCCTCTCCCTCCCCGCTGGTTAAGAGGCCTCTCTCTTCCCAGGCAGTTGAGATGGAGTTTTGGAAGATCCTTGAGCAGGGCTGTCATTGTGAAGACTCCAGACCCCTGGGCCCCTTTTTAACCACTCTACTCTCCTAGGAACCAGTTCACTATTCTCTGATGACAACGGGCTGCTCCTGTTTCTGTACATGTACCCGGCAGGCCCCGTTCTGTTTCTTTTGGTTTAGGGTACGTGTGCAATATGCATTTGGTAGGCTGCGTGGGTCCATTTTTAGGTGAAATATTTTGACAGTGCATTCCCAGTCTTGTTTCTCTCACCTATCTTTAGGAGGTCCCAGGATTTGCTTGCCCCGAGGCCTTGGCTCTGTGAGCCTGTAAATCCGGAGTTCCCCGGGGGTCAGACTGGCTGGCTACAGGCCTGACCAGGAATGTGGGGCTACCCAGCATCAAAGAAGGCCGGCTCCCTGGTTGTTACCCAGCTCACACGCCTTCTGTCATAAACTGGGTGATAGGGGCCCAGAGATCAGGGTGGGAAGACTTGTCTAAAGTCACAGGGCAAATTGGTGGCAGAGGTGGGTGGACATCACCCCTTCCTCGCTCCATTTCCTGCTCTCAGCTGGGGCCCCGAGGGCCTGTGAAGGAGCCTGAGTGTTGCTGGCGTTGTTCACTGGGACCACACTCATTCATTCTGCAGGCCTGCCTATCTTCCCATAGGTGCCCAACTCCTGTTGCTGGACCACTTCAAACCTAGCCTTATTCATACCCAGCCTGCCTGATACCCAGAACTCAATCGATAGGCATCTCCTAAACTCCTCCTGCCCAGCTCCTGGCTGAGGGTGAGGTTGTGCGCTGGGAACACTCAGGAATCCCCCCAAAGAGCAGTGGATTCCAGCAGCTGAAGATGTGGGGAACCAGAGTTACAACTTCCTCCCCAGCCTCCACTCGCCGCCTGGCCCCACCACGGGGCTTGAGAGCATGAGTGTGTGAGTCAGTTTCATGATTTTCTGAAGACTGAACGGATGTCCAGTGTAACATAACAAATGATCACAAACTCAGTAGCTTGAAATAATTCAAATTTATTTTCAGTTCTGGAAGTCAGAAGTTCAAAGAGAGTCTTAGGGGGCTAAAATCAAAGTGTTGGCTAGTTCCTTCTAGAGGCTCCAGGAAAGTCCATTTCCTTGCCTTTGGTGCTTCTAGAGGCCGCTGTATTCTTTGGCTTATGGGTGCTTTCTTCATCTTAAAGACAGAGACTTGGCATCTTCTTTCTCTGCATCTGCTTCTGTTGTCAGATGGCCTTCTTTTCTGTTGCAAATCTCTCTCTGCTTCTCTTTCTAAGGACATTTAGAATTCACCAGATAGTCCAGGATAATCTCTACCTCGAGACCCTTAACATAATCACATCTGTAAAATCCCCTTTGCCATACCGTTCACGGGTCCCTGAGAGTAGGCCGTGGGCATCTTTGGAGATCATTAGTCTACCCCGGTCAGTTAATGCCATGCCCATTTGACAGACTTGGAACTTGAGGTCTGGAAAGTTTGAGTAGTACAGGAAATAGAGGTCTGACACCTTCTCCCTAATCCTAGAATTGGGGTTTTGGGGTCCTTCTGGGACCTGTGGGCTGGTCTTTAAGAGTAAGTAATCTGACACTTTCTCACATTGGTTGGTCATTTCTGGGGGGTGGGGGTCGCTTCATTGTTCCTTCGAAATTTTGGAAGAATTCTCCCTGTTTTCCTTATCAGGAAGCTGGAATGAGTAATGCTCACCCACTGACCTTGCTGGGTTTTCAGGAAGATTGCAATAATGAGAATGAAAGGCTCTAGTGTACTTCTCAGATGATCAGTTAATACAACTCTTATTCCTCCCTTCCTCCCTTTCTCCTTCCCTTCCTCCCTCTCTCCCTCCCTGCCTCCCTCTCTCTCTTCCTTCCTTCCTTCCTCCCTTCCTTCTTCCTACCTCCCTTCCTCTCCCCTGCCATCTGTCTGTGGAAGACATAGCTGGGCCTCTCCCCAGATCCCCTTTCTGAGGAGGAGGTGCAGCTCACCTTCCAGCTACTGTGAGCATTGGAGGCTAATGACTCTCAGCTGCCCCCTTCCCTGCAAAATTGCCCTCAGCGACACAGGGGCTGCCTATGCTCCATGGCCCCGGAATATTCCCTCTCTCTGCCCCGGCTGCCCGCTCCATTTACTGACTTAGGGGAGCACGCATGGCTGGTCTCCTTCTGCCAGCTGGGACCTACTTTGGTGCAGTTCATGCTCCAGAACTTCCTGGGGGGTGAGGTTCGTCTCTATTTGAGGTCACATCCTCCTTAGCACCTCCCCTGCCCCGTGCAGCTTCCCTCGCTGACTGCAGTCCTGTCACAGGCTCTGCTTCTAGGGGATCAACCCCAGTCACTTTCCCTTTTTGCCTTTTGATTTTTCCTTTTTCTCCTCCTTTTCTTGCTAGGAAGTTGGGAGAGCATCATTTCAGGATGACCGGCCAGCAGCATTAGATGAAGAAGCAGCCCCAAACTCAGGACTAAAGAACGCTCATGGGCGTTGGCATTTTGAAGGCTTATTGGTGCCCTTCTGTCTAATTGAATATCAAGGTACAGTGAAACTCCACATTCCTCCTTTATTGCTGGGTCTGTAAATCTTTAAAAACAATCTTCAGTGGTAGAAAAATGCCAGGCAAGCGAATCCTCTTGTCTTAGCTTAGTTTCCCCAGCTGCAACTGAGGTGAAGTATCCATTTCAATCCTCATAGCCATCTGTGAGATAGGAAGCATCTTCTTCCCCTTTTGTTTTACCAACGCGGCCATATGCTGAGGCCTCCTGCATTTTTATCTCCAGCCTGGACCTCGCCCTTAAATCAGCTGGCTTCGGTGTCTGTTAATTCTAATCACAAAACCCCTGTATTCGTCCAGGCTACCAGGATAAAATACCATAGACGGGGAGCTCGAACATCAGCAATTTACTCCCCCTAGTTTTGGGATCAGGGGGCCAGCATGATCAGTTTGTGCTGAAGGTTGTCTTCCTGGCTTGCAGATGGCTGCCTCCTCACTGGGCCTCCCATAGTGGGGTCTGGGGAGAGCAAGGGAGTATTAGGGCTTTAACATAGGAATTTTGGGGGGTACAATTCGGTCTCCCCTGACCAAGGGAGCATTAAGTAATCACATTGGGGCTCAACCTGGGATGGGGATTCTGGTAGATATTGTAGAACATGCCTCAAGGTTATCCCCAACAAAAGGTGAGTGAGCTGGGATATTTATCCCCCAAATCCTGGCAGTTATGGGTTGAGGGCTGCTTCCAGGAGGTACTAACTCCCTGGGGCTTCTGGTGCCTGTGTGAGCTGAGCACGCTCCAGTGACCAGGAAAGGCCCTGAAGCCCAGTTGCAGGTGCCTGTGGTTGAAGCCTGCCTAGGTCTGCATGCTCAGGTGTGGTGTGTGCTGAGGAAATAGGGAAGAGGGCCGCCAATGTCCACTAGCGGGTCTGAACCCTGGGCGTGCCAACTGTCACATCTGAGCGGAGGAGGGACTTCCTGGTAACTTGAGAGGGGGCAGTTTCCACAGAGGTCTGAGTGCAGGAGCCCCAGTGGAGTGAGTTGCTAATAGACGGGTAGGAGCAGACCCGGTGGGAGGACACTTCCTGGGTGAAGGATGTGGGAGCGTGGCGTCAGGAGGGAGTGTTCTTGTTTCCAGATGGGAGACTCAGGAGTGAGCTTTTGTACTGATGGGAACGCTCAGGGGGGTGAGGGCTTGGTGGGTGGTGCAGGATGGATAATCCAGGGAGGGAGGACTGGACGTGTGAAAATTTGAAGACAGATCAGAGGCTCGATTCCAGACACACTGGAGTGACTGGTCTGTGGTAAATTGAGAGCCTCTTCTGAGCTGGAAGACAAAGGAAGAAGGGAAGGTGGGACCCGCTCAAGGGGATGGTAAGGGTTGATGCAGGAGCTCGGTTTGATGCTTTCTCTTTTTTTTAGGGAAATATAGGCAGGGTCAGGTGTGTGTGTGTGTTGGGGGGGGGACATTGGCATCATCACCCCATTTCTTCTGTGTTTTTGAGTTGAGTGAGCAAGAATAATTTATTTCCATTTATACAGAAACACTTCTCGTAGCTATCAAGATGATTGTCTTTTCTTTCATTGAAAATAAATACACACTGAAAGCTCGCACACACTTAGTAACTTTCTCATGGTCTTGAAATTACTGGTTTCTCTTGTCAGCATTGTGTGCATACCAAATGCAAAATACACTCGTATTTTTAAAGGGCAATTTGGAATCATTAGTAAGATCAGTAATGCATGTAGATTTCGACCCAACAATCTCATGAAATTTGGTGATGTTCATGTTTGAAAGGCAAAAGGAGAAGGTGTTAAAGAGAGATGAAAAGATACAAGGAAAGGACCTCTCAGGTGTTTGGAAGGGATAAATGGATAAACAGCTAACATTTATTGAGCACTTACTATGACCCAGGCCGTTGTTGAAGGTTTTCCAGTCATTTAGTTCCACAATACTGTGAAGGACCTGATATCATTACCCTGGCTTTACAAAGGAGGAATAGGGAGCACAGTAAGGTATTACATAAGTTACCACAAGTTAGAGGACCAGTACATGGTGGAAGGAGGAGAAGTAAGTTCTCCAAATTCACTGCCCACATGTAACTCCCATATCTTCCCTTATCCTTGTCATCGGACACTCAACTCTATAATCTCTTGCTTTAAAAAAATCTCCACCCCCCCCCCCCGAAAGCTTTACTGAGATACAATTGACAGGTAACATTGTGTAAGTTTAAGGTGTACAAAATGATTTGATACATTTATATGTTGCGAAATAATCAGCACAATAGGGTTAGTTAACACTTCCATCACCTCACATAAGCACCATTTCTTTTTGTGATGAAAACATTTACGAGCTACTGTCTTAGAAACTTTCAATTGTACAATACAGTGTTGCTAACTATAATTGTCACACTGTACATTCGATCCCCAGAACTTATTCATCTTATAACTGGAAGTTTGTACCCTTGGGCCAGCATCTCTCCCCTTCCCTTGCTCTGCAGCCCCTGGAAACCACCATTCTACTCTCTGCCTCTATGAATTTGGCTTTTTCAGATTCCACACATAAGTGAGAACATAAAATAGTTGTCCTTCTCTGTCTGACTCATTTCCTCATCACCCCATTTCTTTGGTCCTGAGGCACCACCAAAGCTCAAATCCAGGAGACCTGCAGGCACCAAGAACTCGGGTGGGGTTGGTATATTTCTTTGCAAATTCCATGACAAATAGAAAAGTTTCACTTCCCACTAAAAGATAATTACATGTTAATGGAGCTGATCACCAAATTACAATGATGAAAGGGAGAATTCTACACTTTCGGAAGTGACTTACAATGATAAACACCCCTTTTTCTCTCCTTCAGTCTTACCAAAAAAAAAAAAAAGGGCAGGACGAGTTGCGTGTCTCATGTAATGTTCTTTGTTGACTGCTGTGCTGAGGTTTTCAAAACTGGCATTCTGAACGAGTGTATTAATTTGAATTTGAAGTCCTTTTGTACTAAAATGATGGGTGCAGGAACATATAAAATTACATATGTTTGTTGTCTTTGATATAAGATGGATACTCAGGCAGTCCAACATGACAAGAGATAACTATTTTCCCGACAAGAAATAAAGATGCCTAAACAGTCTGAGAGTTAACATGATGAGTTGTAGTTAGACACTGTGACACTGAATTTGGAGCATGATAACTTCTCAGAGTTCCCGACTTATCCCCTCTGCCTGCCATCGTATGTACTTCCATATAGTTTATGGTTTTAATATTATTCTGTGGGTTTGTCCAAGTCATATTACAATGAAATTCCTCTCAGAGAAGATCCAGCTGAGCAATGAAGAACAATGTTTGCATTAAACTTAAGGATGGATTCTGGGGGCTGAAACCAGGTATTTGGACCTCTTGCATTTCGTTAGGTGGGGATGGAGAGAAGCTAATTAATTTGGTCATGGAAAACATGTTGTAACATTGCAAATTCTGTACTTATGTTCAGGGAGAAATTGAAATTCCATGGACTCTCTTCTGGAACACCAGAGACTTTAGTCCAGAGGGGGTCTAGAAATAGCTATACATAATCACACGTCTGAATGTCCTGTCCACAATTGCTGATGTTTCCCATCGTACACATGGGGCTGGATTCTTGAAGAGTTCCCAGGAATTCTGCAGTTTATTTAGGGTGTTAGATCCCAGGAGGATGAACTGGGGCCGGGAGGAGGACAAACCCCAGGGTAGAACACCAGTGTGCTTTGGTCAAAATGATCTAGTGGCCAAGAGCTGGGGGTGTTCATGCCCCAGGCCTGACACTCCTGTGTGTGTGTGTGTGTGTGTGTGTGTTTGACAATCTCTGTGGATGGAGGCACTTTTCTTCTCTGGAATAGGAAAAAATCAAGGGGTAGGATGGAAATATCCCCAAGGTTCCTCTCAGCTCAGATGGGCAGTCCATTGTAGTATCTGGGGTTCTTCAAGCTGGCAGGCGAGTGTAATGGCAAATTCAGTCCCATACTTCCCAGACAAGGCACAGGGACTCAGGGGACAGAAGGGAATGATAGCCCTGCTGGGTTTTTAATGAACATGGCTGGTTCAGGTTGGAGAGAGGGCTTTTCCTTTAGACACAAGGTACTTGCAATGGAAAAAACCATGCAGGTCAGTTTGTAGGCAGAGCTGATCATTGGTTAAATATGCAGGGCATTAAGGGGGTGGCTGAAGGAGAGGACGTCCTTCTGCACCTCAAAGGCCACTGCTGTCTTGAATCGCATCATGGTGGTGTTATGTTAATATGGAGCAAGCTGTTGTTGAGAAATTATTAAAAATTAGCAATGGGCTCCAAAACGCAGGATGACAAATTGGTGCCCAGGGTTCTGGGGGGAAGAATAATTTACAGCCTTCAGGTGAAATCTCAGGTTGTTTGTTCTTCATTTCTGGAAGCGGAACACAACATTTGCAGCATGTGTGGATAAATTAACCTTTTGTTAATTTGGGGAGCTGCCATCAGCCCCTCCAGCTCCCTCTCTCAGCTTCAGCAATGAGGCAGACTCAAGGGGTGGGAACCACATTGTCCCAGTGTAGGTGCTCACTCAGGGCCCCCTGGTAGTGCAATACTGCCCTATTTCCTTCTGGACTGGAAGCCCCATGAGGGCAGGGACTGTGCTCCTTCCGTATTTCTGGTGCCTGGCACATAGTAGGTGCTCAATAAAGATTTGTAGCACGTACACCTCTTGGGAGCAAGGTGGGCATGAAGAGCAGAGCAGAATAGGAGGAGATGGGGGGGTGGCAGCTTGTTACCACCCTTTCCCCTACAGCAGACTCTGTTCTGGAGGCAGAGCCCATCCTTGGAGCTTCTTCCTGCCCTGCTTCACCTGCCTGCCCTCCTGGGAGCCAGTGGCTGAGTAGCAAGACCAACAGCAATGCGGTTTTCCTGCAGGTCCTGCATGGAGGGAGTTCAGGAGCAGGGGTGCCTCTCCCTTGGGCATCCCAGAATCCGCTCTCGGGTTGGGCATCATCAAGGCCAACTGGAGGGCCCCCTGGGGGAAGAGGAGCCACCACATTCTGCCTGGC